TATTTATTATAACAAAATAGGCAGTTATTGTGGGTAAAATATTCATTAAAATCTGACCCCTAAGTACACACACATTTTTAGGCTACGAATCATTCTCTCATTGCCCTAATGACCATCTCTGCAGCTGTTTTCTGTATTATTGCCAATGGAAATTTGGCATTCCTCTGAAAAATACAAGGTTTTCTAGCACCTAAACATACTTTAGGCTCAAAAAGTGTGATGACCATTATCTATAAACAATTTCTGTAAGACACTATAAATAGTGTTTCACAAGGAAGATTAAAAACATTACACATCTTTGTCCCTAGCAATTTTATTGGCAAAAAAATGAAAAAATAGATTATAAGAATATCCATATGAAATTATGAAAATGAATATCCCTTGAGGAATAGCAATGGGAATTAATGTAAATGTTAACTCAAAACAGAAAGTTTCTAACTGCCTGGAAAGTAAAAAAAAAAAAAAAAAAAAATACTGTGAGAATAGATTTTAACTCGGAAAATAAAACCTGAAATTGATTGCCCTGACCAAACCATGCTATTAAAGTTAAGCGTGCAAAATTACTCATGATTTACAACTTCCTTGAATACAACTTTTCATTCAATTGTTATGAAATTTTAAAAGAATCTCTATAAAGCTTTTTTGAAAATTCTTTGAAAGTTACTTTCCCTTAAACATTAAGGAATTTTACCAAGCAATTCCCTCCCACCCCCACCCCAAACTAATAGCTGGTCAGGCCATTCCACTGTCATGTTTGAAAAATGGCAAACCAACAACACACGATAATACAAATTATTTAAACTAAGAGAGACACCAAATGTAAAGCATTATGGGAACTGCAGAATGTGATGGTTAGGGTATGAACCACGCTGGAGAGAACTAGAGGCAGGCTCCACTGGAAGGGCTTAAGAGTCGTCAGATGTAGTAGGTGATGTCAGTTAGAATATGAAAAATAAAGATCTGTTTTCATAATTTTTCCTTTGCTGGAACCCAGATGTAAGGCCCAGACTGTTCCTCTATGATCTGTTTCACTTGGTTGTAGATTTCTTCCAGTGTGTCTCCTTGGACAATAGCTGCAAAACATAATGTGGCAATCAGCAATCATCCTTCCTAGCTCCATACGGAAACCAAGATGTTCCAAGCCAAGCTGCTCTTTTCTCTCAAAGTGGTAAGAAGACTTTACATCACTGAAGGAACAGACACCCCACAGAGATTTCTGGTTTTTCTGCTGGAGTGAACCACATCGTTGATAGCAGGGCACACAAAGCACCATCTCTCCCACTCAGAGGCTTGGGGTTAGGAAGTGGTTTTCACTTTACTACAAGTATGAACATACAGCTGAGGAGGTTGTTTTTTTTTTTACTTTTCCTCATCTGAGTCAATTCACATCCTCCAGTATTCTTTTTGGTCCAACTTTCATGTATGTTTCCAACACAGCAATGCAAGGTGAGAGTACAGGGCTGTGTCCTCATGAAGCCAGAGTGAGGGTAAACTCCTCAGCTGGATCCTGAAACTTCACAGCAAGGCTGGCGGACCTTGGGATTTCTACTTTCTAGCGGTAGCTTTGCTTTTGGCCAAAAAGAGGAGGAACTCATGGAGTTTGTTGCCTAGCTGACAGATTCAAGTTTTACAGACAACAGGATTCCTTATATAGTTAAAAGTGCAATTTATATTTAGATGGTATAAGCTAGACATATTTTCTCCAAGGCTAGAAATAATTAGAAATGAGCCAATATTGATGTATTCTGACAAATCAGAGTAAAGTACAGTCTGGCGAGAATGAGGACGAAGTTTGAGCTGCTCTTACCACACTTCAGTCTGAAAAAGCAATCACTGTGAGATGGCAACTTCTTTTTAATTAGGATCACCACCTCAGTGTTGACAATCCAAGAAACAAAAGTTTAGCACGAGTGATGATTCTGGAAGCAGGCCAGACTCACTCTTTTGTGCATTAAACTTCTGAGCTTTGCTTTCATGCAAATTACTTCCTTTTTATTCCTACTCATCATTCCCATCTCTTAAAAACTTTCTCCCCATCTGCAGCCCATTGTCACAGTGCCTGCAGGAGGAGGAGGCTGTTACAATTATTATAGGTCAAATATAACCTTCACAGTACAACAGTGTATTAGACAGATTTAGAAATGTCTTTACAATGCAAATAACCATAAGCTTCAGCATCTTACTTCTCTCTAGGTATGTTTAACTGCCCCTCTTCCAAAGCTCAATACCCTCAAAACAGAAGATGGATACCCACTTAATGTGCTTCAGTGCAATGAGTCTACTCGAACTTAACCTGCTGATGATTTCAGTTACCCCACACAATGTGGTATTTTTTAACAGATTAGGAAATGGTCACACATTCTCTTTTACCAGCTGACTCATATGAGTGGCAGCCTCCAAACTGAAAGCAGTAAGTGGGACTTGTAATGTCTTCCAGTATCTCAAACAGATTCAGAAAAGGATTTCTGCCCTGAACTGGATTTTTCAAGGACAGAAGTCTGACCACTGCTATCTTCCTTTGTCAACAAACCTTACATTTCTGAAAAGAAACATGCCCTGAGGCACTAGGCTCTTAAAATTTTTTGAAACATCTTGAATTATGTCCCTTAATTTCCTGAAAAAGTGCCCTATATAATATCCTGAGACAACCTGGGAGAATACCAGCTATTAACTAAATATTTAATTAATATCTATTAAAATAAATTCTTTTATTAAACCTGACACATTTGCAAGTCATTCGGTAAGGGACTCTACGATAGGAAGAACTTGTATGTTGAGAGTCCCTTAACTTCTGGGTGCAGGCAGAGCGCCATGGGAAGAGTGGGAGAGCTGGATGCAGCACTGGGATAAGTGTGACAGCTGCAAGGCAGCCAGCAGGGGAGGGAGGCACAGAGAAATGGATGGACCCAAGTTATTCAATTGTGTGGGTAGCACACAAAGTAGAGAACAAGGCAGCGGGAGATGGGGAGTCTACTGCTTCTTCTATTTTCCTCCCATGTGAAGCCATCACCCCTTCCTGTATCTCTGCCCAGGTGGAGCAAACCCTTGCATTCACAGCTCTGCCCACATAAGATGGGGAAGAAGAAACTGGGGGAAGAAGAAACTGGGCAAAGGAGTCACGTCACAGAAATGAGGTGAATGGGGCAGCAAGCACTGAACCACTGCAAAAGAGAACATAACAGAAAGGAAAGGAGCGAGTGTTTATCTAGGACAGGAATAGAGAGAAGGCTCGTTTCTGTCCTCCGGAAGATCCTGACTTATCAATCTCCTCCTAGTGCAAGCCACAACGCAAGCAATCAGCACAGTCTGAGTGCCTCCAGCCCATCCCTTGCTGATACAGTTAACATCCATGGCACACACAAATTTGATTTGCTAAGTACCATAATGTTGCAGTGCCCAATTTCCAGTGGCTTAATTAATTACCATCATTTTTTACTTCCTGATTTAAAAAAAATGGAAACCAATAATCTCCTATAGGGAACTTTGCTGGGCAATCTCAGCTCTGCAAATAAAAAGCTTTAAGCGTTCAATATATCAACAAAGCAAACATCTGCATTACAACACCTAGAAAAATGGTAAAGTCTCACAGTTTTTAAAACCTAAATTAAGCTCCTAGTAAATTTTTGTATATATTGAATTAATTGATCAAATTGAAATCAGTGTAGACATACTAAGATGGCTCCATGCCTCAAAACAATGACAGATCAGCCTGAAAACAAAGTTCAGCCTTATCACAGCAGCAAGGCAATTCCTATTTTACAGCAAGCAATAAAAACTGAACTCTGGCAAAGGAACAGTCCCAAGTAAAACACACCTGTGAAGTGTTCAGTAAATTCTTGCTCCAGTTTCATGGCTCTCTCAAAGGTCTTCCTGGCTTGCTCTTCCGTTAAGCGTTTATTCATTTCCCTGAAAATGAACACAACATACATTTTAAAATGACTATCAAATACTTGAAGTCTTTTGAAACGAGGTTTTACACTGTTGTCTGAGTATTAACCCTAACAAGAAGCAGTCTCCTAAATGACACACCTAAGTAGTGCAAAGGAGCTGTTCTGACACTATGTTGCAAGGAATTTAGCACAATGACATTTGTTCTCAAGCACTACAATTTGGATTAGAAACCCCATCTAAAAGTCCCTAGAAATTAAACTCAGGAAATCAAATATTGTTTAAAATGCAAATATTACAATTGTCTTCACATAACTTGCTGTTGGCTTTTCAAATATAATGACAGTCTCAAACAATTTAGCCTGAGGTACTTTACTTTTACTCACATGATATTTTCCACTGTTTTCGGTTTAATAAAAATGGAGATTGGGTACAGCTGGGCAATCTGCAACCTTTTGATCGCATTACCAGACACATCAAGAATGCAATGTTTACCCTAAAGAGTAAGAGAGAAGGGAAAATGGCACTAAGCAAAGTTTAAGTCACAGGTATGCATAGCATAATAATTTAGAAGAGAAAACACATTTCCACTGAAGCCAACAAAACTGGAGCATTTGCACCAACGATTATGATTTCACCACTTTGGCACAAGGTCCCACAATGCACCTCTGTTGGGATCATACATCACTTGAGGTGTTCCTGACCCTCCTTCCTTCCTTTCTCCACCAGACATTGCAGCCCAACCAACAATGCAGAATCAGCCGGTGGCACAGCTATACTTCAACCACACCACCAAAATGATTCAACTTCCACCCCCCCCTCCTGCACCTTAAATAACTTCAAGATCCTTTAGGGAGGTGGCCATGCCACAGATGCAGTTTAGAGAGGAGCCAGCTGACTTTACTGGCATGCCTGAGGGGGTAACCACCTCGGACGGCAGGGAAATATGTCACCACCAGAATCATTAGATGGAATTAAATACAAGCACTCTCCTCCCCCCAGGTACCACACAGTAGAATACCAATTTTGAGATGCTGAATGCAATTTATTTGGGCTATTTATTATCTCTTGAGAAACAAATATAACTTAACCATTCTTTAGCCAGTTGGAAGCCTATGTGGTAGGGCTGCTTTTTTCCCCGCCTCTATTCTCCCACTACAAGCAATTTTCCAGCTCTTTGGGATCTCTCATCTCAAGGGCTCTTTCTGTTCTACAGCTCCTCTCATCTCCCATGTGCTCATTCCCACCTCACATATTTTTATTTCTTTTCCTTTTGAGTAGCATATGAGTAATTTGGCATACCACCATTTTAGAAAGGAATGGGGAAAGAGGAACAGAAAACCACTGTCAGATGACTAAAATAAGAAACGCTTTTTCTTTAGCAGGAGACTAATGTGAACAGCAGAATTCTGTGAGCCAGGATACAAACCCACAAGCACCATAAAAGGTTACTCATATCATACAACACACTTCCTGACCTCCTGGGAGATCATCCCTAGAGGACACCCTGAAGAACAAGGAAGTGACTGCAGTCTGAAACAACTGACATGTTTCTGCTTCTGGCAGAAGAGATCACTAGGATCATTTACATTTGATCTCTTGCACACAAAAAAGCCACCAGAATTTTACTTCAGTAATTCTTAGAAAGGATAGAACTGTTCTTCCCACATGAACAATACATATCTGCTTGCTTTCAACTGATGACAGGTGTTTCCCAGATCCAGTTCACAGATCCAGATGGTGACTGGTATCATTTAAGAAAGGTGTTTGTATGTTCTAGCAGAGTATTTTACTACATGTGCTGACCTGTCCACATATTTCAAACAATTTCTCTTTAAATGTGGCACATGCTTGGGGAATTGAGAATTAAGAGCATTACCTGGTCCATTTTCCTTTTTGGGATAAGATACTTAGTAGTTGCTGTGTTTGGCCCAACGCTTGTGCCAGGTGCCAAAGGATTTTGGGCAAAGGGTGGAGGAATAGATTGCCAGCACAGAAGCTGTGCTGGACCTTATGGAATATAACTGTGACGGTTTATCCCAAATCAATAATGAATGTGCATTAACAGCGGCCTCGGACACAGAGATATGCAAGTTGCTAGAGATTCCAAAGAGGATATAAAAACTCCTTTCAAGTGAAGATTTGCACAACAAGGAAAAAAAAATGCAAGTACTTAATGATATAATTCGATGATTCTATGACACAATTCTATGATTCTATGATATAAAGTTTTCATCCAGGGGAGCTATTTTACTCTTTGCACAGTGCATTTAAACAAGGTTTTCCATATTTTTTAGTTCTTTACTTGCTCTGCATCTGATTGAGAAACACGGCACAGCACTTTGCCTTTTACAATAGCTTAACAACGACATCAAAAAGTATCTTTTGCTGTGTCCATTATAGGTAAGGAAATGAGAGAGATGGGGATCAGCCGGAAGCACAGGCAAATGAACACGATTTAAAGCTATTGCAAGAATACGATTTCTGGTACTTCTGGGGTACTAGCAGTAACTTCTGTTGTGTCTGCCCCTAAATTCATCATATAAAACTTGGAAATCGTCTTTCATATCCCAGTAATAAGACCCACTGAAGAGATTAATCTCTTAAGCGAGACGGAGAAGACTTCAAGGAAGGATTAGCCCCAGATCCACCAGTTTGCAGCCCTGTCATGATTTTCAAGTCATGTTCTGCAGGACAGGCCACTGTTTCCCAGAAAAATCATGTTAGCTGGAACTGAGAAATTGCTGCATTGACCCGAAGTCCCATGGTGCCTATACAAGAGATTTAACAGCATGGACACATCTGGTAGTACTTTGTTCTTCATGTCAGTTTATAAAAGATTCACAATCGTTTAGTACCATACTAATCCTATTAGGTGGGCAAAAGAACACAGCCAATCTCAGGTCCAGGATGAAACCGCAGGAGTGTACCTGTGCATGAAGCAACTGGCGACAGGTTTATAATGTTTACACTGTTCAATAAATAGTTTCATGATTTAACCACATATGAGTTTCACAACTTCGTTCAGCCTCCCATACAAAGTACTGTTCATTTACTTTAACAACTGTGGAATTAATTTTATTTTCTTTACTTTTCTCAATACACACCATGGAGCCAGGTTCTATTGCACAGGGTGAGAAACACAGCAGATGAAAACTTCAGCACATGAACCACAGAATCTCACCACTTTCTCCCTGTTTTTTGATTCCAGTAAATTACACTTGCCAGAAACAACAATACTCAGCCATTTAGCCAGAATGGTCTACACTGTTCTCCAGACACTATCTACACTCCCGCGTCCCATGGGTTAACCCACACTTACCCTCTCTATGTCCAGACTGAAAGTGCTCGTGCTTTTCAGTTCCCACCTAAAAACAGCTGTTTCTTCTCTCACACAGATGAGACAACAGTGTCTACTGTAAATGTACCATACTTATAAAAAGTAGAACAACACTCATCAACCTAACATGGAACACTTGCAAAGAATTTTCACCAAAATTTTCTTTAAAACAAGCATCTTACTCCAAGAAATATGGATCCTTCTCCCCACTCGTTTTCAGAGAGCTCAAGTAAACTTCAGTTTGAATTTACAAATATTTAGATTTTCCAATAAAAAGTTAACTAAAACCTGCTCATGACAAAAACAGTAAGGTCAGTCTTCAAAATATAGTGGTAGTTATGTTAGAAGTCTTTCTAAAATTGAGTTTATTACATTCAGTCTATTCCCTCTGTCAGTTAAATTAATGAAGAGCACAAAGAACAACAATTTTACAAGTTTTCTTCTGCACAGGTCTATCAGATGGGTCATCATATTAATCGACTCCACCACCACTATTCTTAGTTAATGATCTATGTATGTGAGCTAGGCTCATTAGCCTGGAATTCCAATTATTTCTTCTCTGTTCTCTTTCTATAGGATGGCATAAACTATGGTTGCTCTTTTCCCATCATTTAACCACAGTGCTTTCGTTATTCCAAAACATCATTTTTCCCTAAATGTATTTGTGACAATGTGCTTTGTTTATAGTTTTGTACAAATTCCTTTTAAAGTCAGAGGGTTCCTAATGGCTTCTTGCCATTCTTCTCTTTTCCCCTGTCAGCACAGTCAGATAATCACCTCAGTAAATGAAAGTAACTAGCACTGATTTACCTTTTCTGCTACTTCTCGCACTGACTGGACACTTGTTCCATAAAGATGATTATTGTACTGGCCAGCTTCAATGAATTTGTGATCCTGAATATCCTTCTCCATTTGTTCTCGAGAAGTGACAAAATGGTAATCACGTCCATCCACCTCATAATCTCGTTTTGGTCTAGTAGTATCTTTAAATATAAACCAGTAATTTTTAAAGCAAAACAAAAAACAGTGACTTTTTTCCCTAC